AAAAAAAAAAAGGTGCCCTATATTAGTTGATTCTAGAACACTTAATTTTGCTCATGAAGAACATGTACATACACCAAGAGGCAGCCATTCAACCAGAACAAGGAGATACCTTATGGTTTAAAATCAGGAAAGATGTGCATCAAAGTGGTATCCTTTTACCATACTTATTCAACCTTCATGCTGAAAAAATAATCTGAGAAGCTGGACTATATGAAGAAGAATGCAGCATCAGGATTGAAGGAAGACTCATTAACAACCTGCAATATGCAGATGACACAATCTTGCTTGCTGGAAGTGAAGAAGACTTGAAGCACTCACTGATGAAGATCAAAGACTATATCCTTTAGTATGGATTACATCTCAACATAAACAAAACAAAAATCCTCAAAACGGGACTACTAAGAAAGACTGTGCAATCTACTTCCATAGTGATACTGCCTCAGAAATCCAAAGAGGGGTCACTATGAGTTGGAACCAACTCAACGGCAGTGAGTTTGAGTTTTTTGGTTTTTTTTGTTTGTTTGTTTGTTTGTTTGTTTGGACCAATAAGCTTCTGCTTATACACAGGAAGCAGACCACATCCCTAGGGCAGCTACTCAGCTGCTCCTAGTAGATTCCACCATGGAGTTGATTACCAGTCTCATCATGGGGAATACTACATCCAGCTGCCCAGTCACTCAACCAGGCCCAGCCAAGTTGACACACAAACTGAACTACCACACATAGCAACAATTTTGAGGCTGGCTCAGGACGGAGTCATGTTTCATTCTATAGTACATGAGGTCACAGAGTCATAACAACTCAACAGCACCTAACAACAGCAATAGCTATTTTTGTGGCACCTAGTTTTTGAATTACACAAGAAAACACTGATGATACTTTTTTAATTGTACCTGGTTATTTTTACACACAAAAACTAGTATTGCCTACCAGACTTGACCTTATCTTGTATAGCAAACTTAACTTTATTTCTACAAAATCAATTCAGGATGAAAACTGGACACACTTCTCAAAGAGGAGTCTTTGAAATGTTCTGATTTGATGGCATCATCATTAAAATTAGTGCATCTCCTACTAAGACGACTTTTGAAGTGGATGCTAGTGATGTAGTGATGTGGTTCTGATTTATTAAAAAGCAGCCTCATTACCTTGAAATGACTCTTCAATAAAACATGCTACATCTTCCCATATTTCCCAGGTAGTGAAAATATAATCCAGAGCGTATAGAAAAAGGAAATAAGACATCAAGAGGTTTTGAATCCCCTATCACTGCAAACAACAGCAGCAGCAGAAACAGCAGACTGGTAATTCCTAAAGAGTTAATCGAATAGTACAGTATACTGTTCTTGGTATTCCAGGCCAGCCAAAAGTTTTAATAAATATTGGCTATTTGCCAAACACTGTCTGGCATAAAAACCTTTTTGATAACCAGATTAAATTCTGGATTTTATTTTAGCTCTAACTTTTATGCAGAATGATCTGAAATAAATAACATTTTCCTTTTCCAGAGAAAAGATGAGATCAGGCAGAAGATGATTGTGGATTATGCATGACAAAGTCATTAAACTCTCACCTTCACCTTTTCTGTGCCTTTCCTCTTCACAGGCAGCATCGCCGCCATCACAGTGACAGTCATTGCCGTGGTGTTATTGGTGTTTGGAGTTGCAGCATATCTGAAGATCCGGTAAGACTCATTTGACTCTTCTTTATGAAGAAAAGGATTCCATGTTGTTTAGCTCTGGGATGAGAGCTGTTTTGCTGTGTGCTTGTGTCTTAAATAAGTACCTTACAAAAACAAAACAACAAACAAACAAAAACATGGCCATGAAGTCCATCCCAACTCATGGCAAACCTGTAAGATGGAGTAGAACTGTCCCACAGGGTTTCCAAGGCTTACAGAAGCAGACTGCCTCATCTTTCTACTGCAGAGTGGCTGTTGGGTTCAAACTACCAACCTTTTAGTTAGCAGTGCAATGCTCTAACCACAGCACCACCCGAGCCCCTAATAGATAACCTTAGCTTTCAGATATACTGGCAAGGAAATGAATGTCCAGCATACTCCTCACTAGATAGGAATAGAAGCTACAGTATCTGAACCCTGCAAAGTACAAGAAATAAGCTAAAATATTCAGCATGGTGATGAAATGGGAGGAAAAAATTAACCTGGAGTCAAGAGACTGAGACCTGCCTAGGCTTTCTGTCCTTAATTTACCTCATCACCTTGAGGAAGCTGTGTATCTCCCAAAGCTCAAGTTTTCTCATCAGTGAAATAGAGTAGAGGGGTAGGATCCATGATTCCTAAATACTGATGTTCTGAGTTCTGATCTGTGGATTTCCCAGTACGCAATGAGGCTTTCACTGGCCCTAAAGCAAAATGGGGAAAACATAGGGAAAGTATGATATTTTCTATAAAACCCCTTTTTTTTTTTTCTGAGATTACATCTTTATATTTTTGGTGCTAACACTTCTTTTATGAAATGACGGTATTCATAGATGAAAACTAGCATTTACTTTCCTTAGCAAAATAGAAAGTTGCAATATTCTCTGAGTCCCCCATTTTTGCATATTATTTGTCCTCCATTTTTTCATTCTATTTCTCTATGAAATACCAAAGTCTCAAAACTACATTACTAACATCTTTTAGCTTCCTTCTAGCTCTAAAAGGCCAAGTGGCAAGTGTCCGTTTTATTGGCCAATCTATATATGGCTGTAACAGGAAACAGAAGGACCTTGTGCTGCCATGATGAGTACAGCCAACTCCTTGCCCTCTGCCAGCACGTGCTTTTCCAACAGCCAGATGCTCATTGTCAGAATTCCTCTAGCCATTCATCCCTTCCATTGAAAGCCCCTAATGTCTTTGCACAGCACTTAGAATTAGATTCTAGCGCCTCAGCTTGGCTCTCAAGGGCACTCATGGTCTTGCCTCTGCCTAATTCTTCCCCCTCCTGATATCCTCTCTGCCTCTTAATCCCAGAACTCCATTCGCATTGGCCTTCTGTCCAATTCTTAGAACACATCAGGTTCTTTCCCTCTCCTGGTCCTTGTGTCTTTCTGGTCTTTCTACTTGAGAGCTATTCTAGCTCTTCCTCACCCTGTACCTCCAGGAGACTTCTTTTTCAGATTGATGTCCCTATTATTTATTCTCTGAAATCCTTAATTATTTCTGTCCTAGACAATGCATCTCAGCACAGCCACTATTCATCTGTCAGTGATAGACTGCATGTTGCTATGATGCTGAGCAGATTTCAATGGAGCTTCTAGACCAAGACAGACTAGACTAGGAAGTCTGCTTCTGAAAATCAGCCAATGAATGCCCAGTGGACTGCAAGGAATCAATCCAGGATTTGATCATAACAGTTGTGTATGGGGTCACCATGAGTCAGGGCTGACTTGATGGCAGCTAACAACAGCAGCTATCACAGTCCATAATTTTATTTGTTTATTATCTGCTTTCTCCACTAAAATAAAAGCTCCATGAGAACCCAGATTTTATCTATGAGTTTTCCTTTGTATCTCTAGCATCTAGCACAGTGCTGGGCAGAAAGATAAATTGAGTAAGTGAACAGTTAATTTTACAAATAAGCCATCACATAGATACCATTGTACACATACACATATACTCCTCACCTCCCTGTCTGCCCTACAGCTGCATTTCTCCCTCAAGAGGTGTACACGCACCTTGCCTTTCCCTGTGTCCTTGTTCCCCATGTGAGGTACACATGTGTAATTTCTCATCTGTATGCCCACATCCACCTTGCTGCCCTCTCCCCTTGTCCTCTCTCATCACCTCTCATCACATCACCCAATGCCAGCCATTGCCCACTGGAAAACACTCTCCTCTTCTTTTCTTTTTATCTCACTTCATCTTTTGTCTTAAATGCACACCAAATCAATCTAATGATGGTGTCAAGTATGAGAGTGCCACATAATACCACTTGGATCTAAGGAACGAAGAATAGGCAAGCCACATTTTGAAAGGAAATTGAAATTAAAGGGCCAGTGTTACTTATGTCTAAAAGCCTTTATAAAAGCATCCAGAAGTTTCCTTCAGATTTTAAAAAATCTTTTTTGTGTTTTCCTTGAACACAAAACTTAATTTTATAACTCGTATCTCACTGTATGGTTCTCTTTTCCATCTGACTTAATTACTAGTTTATCCCACAAATACACAGTATTTTAATTATAAATTAAATTGGCTTTTATGAACCAGTTTAGGATAGGAACCTCATTCCTACTCTGTGGCAAAGTTCCTATTGAAAACTCTTTTCTCAGGTCCAAAAAAAGGAACTTAAATATAAACTTTGGAGTCATTTCAGAATTACCAGTGGTGAGTTTCTGAAGGGCCATGTTACCAAAAGTAAGAATTCCACTGGAGTAGAGTTAAATGGAAACATTTGTCTTTGGCACACACTTGTCAAAAATAGGCGTTGAAGCAATTTAAAGAACTCTTCCTCTTAACTTCAAGAAAGAATTCAAGTTTACCACCTCAAACCAACCTCTGACTGTAGACACGCAGTTTAGAACAATTATTGATAATTCAGACTCTGGAACCTAGGTGACCTCAATTCAAATCCCAGCTCTACCTCTTTCTAGCAGTGTGACTAGGGCTTGTTACTTAGTCTTGATAACCTTCATTTTCCTCACCTATAATATAAAGATAGTAGTTTTAACTACTCTGTAACATTGTTGAGAAGACTTATAGCTCTAAAAAAAAATAACTCATTGCTGTTGAGTTGGATCCGACTCATAGTGACCCCTCCTTGGGTTTCTGAGGCAGTATCTCTATGGAAGTAGATTGCCCAATCTTCCTTCCAAGGAGTGGCTGGTGGGTTTGAACTGCCAGCTTTCTGGTTGGCAGTCACGTGCCTTAGGCACTACGCTACCAGAGCTCCCAAATACATAGCCCTAGCAACAACAACAACAACAACAACATCATCATCATCATCATCATCAAAGTTGTAAACTGATGAAAGCATCCCTAGTGAGATATTTGCAAAATAGGTAGTCATAGGGCATCAGCCATGTACCAGACACTCTGATGAGTACTGGGCCTACCTCAGTGATGCAGCACAGAACTGTATTGGGGAATTTTTATTAGCAAGACATTAAAATTTGTCCTAATGAGTGCTGATTAAAATTGCATAGAATTTAATTTTAAAAATTCATTCAAAAGTACATTGTGCCCGGTCTTCTCAACACCAGATAAGTTTAGTGAATTATCAAATTGAATTAATCATTGTTTCTTTCCCCCATACAATTTCTCTCACCTAAATTTAGAAAGTCTTTAGTGATGTGTGTGTATAATAGATAGAGGAAAGAGAAAGAGAGAGAGAGAGTTATGCATGGAGCCATGGCACAATGGTTAAGCACTCAGCTCTAGCTAAAAGGTTGGCAGTTCAGACCCATCAGTGACTCCTCAGGAGAAACACCTGACAGTCTGTTCCCATAAAGATTACAGCCTAGGAAACCTTTGGGGGCAGGTCTACTCTGCCACATGGGCTCACTATGAGTTGGAATGGACTCAACAGCACAGAAAAACAATATATGTATACACACACGTATTTGCTGTTTCTTTTTAGCACTACAAACTTAAGGTTGAATAAACTGATCAGATCCTTTATTAGAAACCCCCTAAGGAAAATCCCTTTATGCTTCTTTGTTAATTATTTTGGCAAAAATGATAACATAAGGAATGTAATAGTTCTTGTGAATCTTAAGACTGGGGTAAAACATCAAGTGTTATTTTTGCCAGATTCCTGGAAAGTCTCACTAATCATTAGTCAAGAATACATTTGGCTTCATTGACAAATGTGGGTGTCTGTCTATGTATCTAAGGTTAGGCTCAGCCTTGGCTGGAAGTTTATTCTGTTTCCATAGGCCCAGATTTCTGAGAACAATAGCATGACAAGAGGACTATTCTCTGTGATCTTACAACTCACTTGGCTGGAGAAGCAAGTGACTGAAATCACAGCCCATGAGGGAACCATTAGCTTCTGGCTTTCGACCACAGGCTATACCCTAGCTCAAGCCAATATGCTTGCCAATACAAGATGAGATCCTGCCTAAAGTCAGCCTCACAACCAGAAAAACAGTGTGCAAGCTATGCAAACGGTGGGTGCAGTAGCTTCACCTTTCTCCCTAAATCCTCATTTCTTCCAGAGATAGTGGTGAATGCATTAGCCATCTGTTTTCACACTCCAGGCCTCCAGAGACCTCTGACCCCTAGCTTTATCACACATCTTTTTATAACTTGAGCAACTTTTAGATGCAGCTAACAAAAAAATGATCTACTTTGAACCATCCAATCCCTTCTCTGCTATCAAGCCCCCCTTTTAGCTAGCAGCAGCATGGTGTGGAAGAAGGAATGAAGGCTTGGCAACCGGGTTCAGTACCGACTACACTCCTACTTATTTAGCAGGAGGCCTTGGGCAAATTATAATCTCTCTGATCCTTGCTTTTTTCATCTGCATAGTAGGGCTGATGTTGTTGTTGTTGTTGTCATGTGCTGTCAAGTCGGACCTGACTCATAGCGACCCCTCCTTGGGTTTCCAAGGCAGTATCACTGTGGAAGTAGATTGCCCAACCTTCCTTCTGAGGAAAGTAGGGCTGATAATGATTATATTTCATTACATGAGATTAAATAATGACTTTAGAGTACCTCATGAGATAATATAGTGTGGTGGT